ACATCAGGGAAACAACAGTTGAACACAGATCTAGCTTTCAAAGGCCCTGGGTGACTGTGCTGCTTTTACAACTTCCTCACACTTACTGGGTAAACCACTTCTTACTTATCCTGGTAGCCCAAAATAATATCTTTTAAATTCTTCCATTGAGGCCCAGCTCCACTGGAAGCTAAAGAAAGAGAACTTTTGTAATTGTCCCCAAGCCTCTAGTAGAAAGAAGGACTGCTTTAAATACCCTGAGGAAAAGGGGACAGTGCTATTCAAATTCAAGAAGGCACTGAAAAACCAGGAACTAGAGGAAGAGGTCAGGAGATGCTAGAGAAAATCCCACCTATTTACTTACCTATTTATTTTAAAGTAATACTTCAACCCTTTATGTATGCAAGTTAGAATCCAGCTGGTCAATTTTGCAAGTCTTCATTTCAAGATATAATGGAATAAGAGGGACCTAGAAATCTGAACCCCCACCCCCAGAGCTAGCTAGTCTTTGGATCATTCTAGGCCATGGTTTAAGCACATCCTTAGCAGTAATACGCTGCGTTCTTCAATAAAATCAGCCATGGAGAGAGGTGCTTACAAAACATTAGTATGTAATATGAGCAAAGAAAGTAATATTCAAGAGAGCACAGTAGCAGTTAACAGAAAAAAAGACAGAGATTTAGCGAAGGCAAGGAAGAAGAGCACAAGAAACAGCAACGAAATGAACAGACAAGTTGGCAGGACGCCGTATCACGAAATGGCAGATATTCAGAAGGACAGCCCCATCATTCCAGTAATCTGTCCCTTTCTGGGACTTTTAGAAATATGACTGGAGAGGACAGGATGCTGGTCTAGGCTCTATCTTCTCATAGTGTCATCAATAAACAAACAAACAAACAAAACAACTCCTCATGCACCAGAAAGAATAGACACAACAGGAAATAGAGGAAAAGTGAAACAGGCACCACCGAATGTGACTCACGCACAAAGAAGAGGAAGGGGTGCTGGAAGCAACAGGAAGGAATCGGTGTGCGCTGACTGCAACCTGAGGAGTGGGGAGCTCTCTCATCTCAGAACCATAATTGATTTGTCTGATTTACCGGAACAACAGTAAGCCGCGCACCAGCCCCATTTTATTGCTTGTTTTACACTCTATATCTGCAGGAGATTGTATTTTTTACAGAGCAGACTACAGCAAAAAACAATAATAAAGCCACGATAAGCAACAGTCTTATATTCCACTGACATGCACATTCCAACTTTTTGTACTCCATTGAGGGAGTGAAGACAGGATTCAGAGAAAAACAGAACCCACTGATAACGAAACTGGGTGTATGATGAGAACCAGTCACCACAGAACCATCCTCCAAATCCAATCAGACCCAGTGCCAAGTTGTTCACATGCATACATTCACAGGAATATCCTGGCCTAAAGGAAACCAGACGATTAAGAAAGGACAGCAATGACCAGAACTTGTAGTACCCCACTTCCTTCACCTTGAAAAATTAGAAATAAAGGAAACTAGTAACTTCTTCAGGATTCAGATGACCAGATCGGCAGTATTTTCTCCCTTAGTGGTTACCCTGAAAACAGGTGTTAAAGATGCAAAAGAGCTGAGTTTAATAAAGCCCTAGCCAAAAGGCGAGGTTCATTCAGTTGGTGTTACACAGACGCTGTGTGCTTTATGGAAAAAACAGTTGACATTAATGTCAAAAATCGTTTGTATTAACTGACAAATACTTGTACTGAGCTCTCAATATGGGGGACACAAGAGGCTCAATTGGGCTAGCAGAACGCAAAGCTAGAAAGCATGTTCAGTAGCCAATAAATGAAATGACCAGTCTAGTCCCGGGGAAGCTGATGAACGGACATAAAAAGGTCTGCTGGTTTCATCACCGCAGAGGCCAGTGTCTCAAAGCAGGCGGTCATCCTTTTACTCCTATGCTTGGATCGCTTACTTTCCATAACAGGAAGTCAGCCAAGCAGACGGTGCACTTGCTAAGTCTCCATCAGAGGCATTTTAGTGCACTCTGACCCTTATCCAATGAAATCATTTTTAAAATTGCAAGAGAAGAGATATGGACAATGGGTAGAGACTCGACTCTAAAAGCTGGAGGCCACTAAAACAAGAACAACTTTACAGATTACTTGTCTCACAATCATAATATAACCTTTTCCTTACAGCACATTTCTTGAGGGTGTTTAGACTGCAGTATGAGGAGCTTATATGTGTCTCCTCCACCCTAAGGATGTCTATTCAGGTGGAGAGAGGTATTAGGTACAAATACCAGTTCATAGTCTATTATTTTGGCAGCACATTAAATATACTGTCAACTTAAAAACAAAACAAAACAAAAAAAACCTTCCATTTATCATGACCTGCAACTAAGAACAAGTCAAAGACGGGAGGGGAGGGAGGGACACAGAGAAAGATACAAAAAATTTAAGAATCTTTTATGAAACCATTATATGTGTGTATTTCATGGCCTTTTTCCAGGTATTTCATCTTCATCCACCTGTAAGCTATTTCCCCGCCTGACTCCCACATATCTATCCGTCCCTCTGGCAGTAACTTTGCCAGGATGCTTCAGGAGGCTGAAAACCCATATGTCTCACCTAAATGACACACGGGCACCCATCACACACACACTTAACATGACACTGTGCCAGAAAGAAGAGAAGGTTAGAAGGGGGAGATAAAGCTCCTCTGTCACAGAAGGCGCCCTGCTCCCACTTTGCAAAAAAACCCCTGCAATCTAAGCTGAACAATGGGTGGTGAAGGTAGACAAGGAACAGCTTTCACTTTCACTCTCCCGCTTGCTCAAGCTTTCCTCTTTTATTTATATTTGGTAACTGAGGGGGATTTAATTGGCATTTATTTTTAAATAATGTAAGAGCAAACCAATTCTTCAATATCCAGACAGAAAAGAGAATAAAGATATGCATGAGATGGAGATACATAAGGGACATGGGAGACAAAAAAAAAAGGGAGAAGAATATGAAGACAAGCTTCCTAAGACCCGTTGCTACCAAAAAAAAGAAAAAGAAAAAGAAAGAAATGAAAAAGGAAAAGAAAAACCCCACAATGCATTAAGGTAGGGAGCAGCACAAGCCTCACAGAGAGCAGTCAAGAACGTTAGGTGCTAAGACGACAGCTCTGAAGAAGGAATGCTTCTCCCTCGAAAACCGGCTGAGGACTTCACCTTGCTGCAAATGGGAACAGCAAGAAAATGAACTCTGTAGACCAAAACACAGTCTCACCCCCAAGGTTTCATTCAGCTTCTGGAAGGCCCTGGAGTGTGAGCCTGATGTGAGCTTCTGGGTGGGCATATCTGGCCCCAGTATGGAGGAGTCACCATCGTGTTTTCCAAACTAGGTATTTATAACCTTTCCCCCTGCAGTTGAACAGCCAAAAACTGCCCTTCGATTACCCCAACTTCACCAATTAACATTAGAAAAATATTGTTGAGAATGCCACAGTAGGGGTGTGTGTGTGTGTGTGTGTGTGTGTGTGTGTGTGTGAATAATAAGGTAAGCCACAGAGAAAATAGGGCTGACAGCATCACACTGTTAACAATGAGCAGATACAACTGAGTCACCTGTGGCTCATAGGCCATTAGCAACAGGTTCCTGGGCTTCTCAGGACTCTTAGCTCCGAAAAATGCACATCGATGTACCTTACTTATTAAAGAGAGGCATAACTTCTTGATGGAAGTCCAACTAATGTGGGTAACACTGTTTAATGTGTAATCTGCCGTGATTGGCTAGAGAGAAAGAAAAGCTAAACAGAATCCCATTGCTTAAACAACGAGATACCGCGATCTAGGCAAGGGTGAACTGGTCAGACACATTTATAATGCAATCATGAGGACCAACAGGCAAAGCCTCAGCCAGGCTTGGGAAGACAACATAACAGGAAGATAATATACTCTAATTCATCACTGCTGTGGGCTAGGCTGAGCTCTAGCAGCTTCTGTTTATAGTTGAGTTTACTTTTTGGTTCCCCAGGCAAACTTCCTGAGTGTCCAAGCTAAGATTTACTAGTCCTTCCTCCATCGCCATGCCTGTGCTATATGGTCCTCACTATACATGGCCTGAATCCCCTCCTTAACATCAGTGACTATGGGAGTTGAAACGGATGGCGTGAACCAAGAACAGAGGGTGAATTAATGAGCCAGCGAGCCTTCCCTGGGCAGCTGACCAAAATCAACACCTCAAATGCTCACTATCTCCACTTAGTTTTATTTCTCTTCATAGCAGTTGCTGCTACTTGATTTTACTATTGTTTCCCTTTTCCACCTGCACATAGGGACTTTATTAGGTTTGTTCGTTGTTGTATTCTCAGTGCCTAGAGCAGTTGTAGACACAGTAGGCACTGAAATACCTGTTGAATAAGTGAATAAACCCTCTCAAATAACAAAGGTATCTCTTCAGTGTGCAAGGCAGAGTCCTGATCACTGAACAGTCAGTCATTTGGACACAGCCTCTGGGAATGTACAAGTCTCTGTTTCTTCCATTCTTCTATAGCACCTATGTTCATTATCTCAAAGGATGCTCACGTGTTTCTCCCACTTTGAGGCAACAGCAGGAAAAAGAAGTCATAAGGAAAATACAATTCATCCTCAAACTTGTCCTAAAAGCTATACCTGAACTTTTCCCACTAAGACTTTACAGTCATACTCAGAATTAAATGGGAATTTTAAAAAGAGGTAATTTTATTTTAATACAACTGGAAAGAAATATCTTCTAAGTCATAGTAATTAAAAAATGGAAAAGCAACACAGTAATAGTTCAGGTGACAGGATAGAAGGTTTTAAGCTCGAGTTTCAATTCTGCTTTTCCAGAATATAAAACAGAATCTCTATAGATGCATAAGCAGCAGTCCTGGAAAAATTCACATTCAGTGCCTGAAAACAAACAAGCCACAGAAAATACATAAGCTAAAGTCCTTTGGCAAATTAGCAGCTAAGCGCCTGGCGCCTCTGTGCCACACAGCTCTCTATTCAGGGACACAACTCACCCCAGATATGTCTGCGACGCGGTGGATAGGCACTTCCTTCTTGCTATGCAATCCTTTGCCATTCTTAATAGCTCTGTAAAGGAATAAATAAAAAAAAAAAAAAAAAAAACTATTAAAATACAAATCACACAGGGAAGGTGGGAAAATGGGGTGAGAACACAGGTCATTCAAATGGGGGTCTATCACTACACAAGTCACACTGCACACTACCAAGTAGCCAGCCTCTGCCAAGACTGCTGGGCGGAGGGCAACAGAAGTCTTCTCTCAAGCCCAGTTACTAGGACTTAGGACTTGGCTGCTGGTTTCAGCTAACAGTGTGCCTGGTAATGAGAGGCCCCAGAATTTGTTTCCAAATTAGAGGCATTGTTCCAGGCACAAAAGAAGAATCAGTTGGAAGAGAACAATCCTAAGAAACAGAAGTAATAATGTTTCTTTCTGTGTTTAATTACATGAAACATTTTAAATGCAAAATATGTAGCTAGAGTTCCAATTCTAATGGAAATAAGTTCCTCCCAGGTAAAAGGATAAATTGCCCTGAATGAAGCAATGTTGTAAGGAAAAGTCATTTAACAGTAGGGGGAAAAATTGGCAAAGGCTACATCACTGACATTAAGCTCATTTTCAATCAGTCTCAGGTTGTAATAACAGTGGATTTAGCAGGGGACTCTGGGACTCTGTCACACATCCGAACACTGTTTGGTTTGCTCCAATCTCCCACCTTTTATCTCCTAATCCCTTAAATGGAAACTTCAGGGACAGAAGCCTCAGCATCACTGGGTATGATCACTCACCTAACAATAAAAAGGGCCAGGGAATAGAAGCTGATGGGTAAATCACTAAGTCACTAAGCCATTAGATAAGGCCTTCCTGTGTCCTGCCAGCCTGCAGACCCAAGCATGGAACATCGCTGAGTTTCGTGAATGACAAAGAGAGATTGTGAGGTGTATCCACTCTGTGGACTGCCCTTTTTAGAGCTTCTGAATTCCAGAAAAAGTGAAAACTGCCCAGAGCAGCACTAAGACCCTCACACTGGCAACCAATCAAATGTCTACCTTCGTCCCACACAAGATCTCACTTAGCAACGAGCAGTAGAGGACGCTGCTTTGCAGGGGTTACTTTCAGGTCCCAACTTTCCAAATCAAACTCACATGAACCAAATGAGTGGGTGCTCAGTGCAAAGTGGAACAGTCATATTTCTTATATACGTGGGCCATTACCATCCACTCCTCGTCTCCTTCCAACACCCCAGGGGATCTATCCCTTATTCAACAGATTTTAAAATGCCTCCTGTTCAGAACAAACAAACAAATGCTTTCCTTTCTATCTAGTCTCCATTCCATGATGAGGGTAAGAAATGAAAGTACAGTGTTAACAAGAAAAAAAAAACATACACTCGCTCTGATCTAAACTGCTAACTGAAAGAATTTCCAAGTTCCTTGAATCCCGTGGCTCCTTCTGAATTTGAATCAAGGGCTTCAGCTTTAGAAATTGCAAATGGGTCAGAATTTTTCCTCTTACAATTTAGTCCAGTGATTTATCATCCAGGGAGTCTACTAATGATCACAGACCAGGGCTGATTCTCAAGGTTTGTCTCTGGTCCTTTGAGATTTGCAAGCTAACATGAGAGGACTAGAGAATGGTTTATATGAGAAACTAGTGGCTGGAAGCCACAACAGATCTAACTCTTCCACCTCACATCCTCTGCCACCAACAGGCTCTCCAACTCCCCATTCTGCTATCATTAACGCAAAGGAGCAGCCTTGGGAAAAGCATGGCCTCTGTGAGGCAAGGCAAGCTCACAGCCAGCCTGCCTATAATCGCCTTCCTTCCTTCAAGGCCAGGCCTGTAAGCTTCCTGCACGTCCTCTGGGGGCACGAAATGCCTACAGCCTTATCCTCTCTTACCAACAAGGACAATTACAATAAACGAACCTGCCCCATGAGCAGACTGGTTCACGTGAGCATACTACTGACCTTGGGAACTCTCTTGGGGGCTGGAGAGCATCTCATATACTATGAGGAAGAAAGAACCGGGCCTGAGCGGTAAGTTAGAAAATGGGTTCTCGAGGCGAGGGAGTGAGGTGATAAATTAAAATTCTGCTTTCTTTCTGGGACCCCAAAGTGGCTTTGTGCCGTGAGCAGAAATCCAGGACTTAACCAAGATTAAGCATGCTACCCAAGGGAAAAATAATAATACCTCAAACCAGAAAACACGAATAATGATGTGCATAAGACATTTAAAAACAAACTAACCAGAATTAAGTCTTAAAAAAAAAAAAGTTATGGTCTACCTTGTTCTTAAAAAGGATATTACCAGATACTTATTTACATTTAGGCATTAATTTTGGAAAAAACCTTCAAAGACTTAATCTTTTCATACTTAAAATGTAATTGCTAAATTTAGATCAATTTCAGGCACATTCAAGGGGCAAGAGAGAAAGTAGTACTGTAACATATACAAGCTGAGAAATAGTTCTCATTGTTAGTTAACAAAAAAGAGGCATAATTGAAAGTTCATAATTTGTAAACACTAAGCACAAGTCATAGCCACCTAGGAAGCACACTGAAGTCTAAGTGGTACACGGGTCCCAGGTCCCAGGCTGCAAAAGGATGGAGGCTTTCTGGGGAATTAGCTAAATAGCATATAACTCAGCTTGGGTCTCCTTCTCTGAGCCAAGGCTGCTTTGGTTCTTATTCCCACATTGCTACAGAAATGACCCAGGGTGAGCCAGTCCCAGAAAACCTCCCTCAGCCTGACACAGGCTAATAATGCCACAAGCAAGAGCTTCTCCTTAAGACAGTATCTTGAGGAAGTGGCCAGTGCAGAAATTTATGCACACATTTCAAAGAGGAAAGGCGCAAACACCAAGAGTGGCAGGCTTGCCACAGTTCTCTGCAAAAAGGAATATGATATACGTCTTTGTTCCAGAACTATAAGGATATAGGACATGACTGCCTACTAACAGTTGTATGGATGGTAAATAAAGTGGAGACCAGGTTCTGTTGCCTTGTCACTACTTCTCAGCGGGGCGCCTCGTGCATCTTATATAACCCAGTTTCTCTGGGGCAGGTTTGGGGAGCTCTGTCTTTGAAACACTGGCAGGTGGTCAGGCAGCAGGTTTGTTTCCACTGATAACCTGCTCTACAGAGCAAATGCTGACACCCCTCCCCACAGTCCCTCTCCCTGCAGGCTGCAACCACAGCTCAACATCCCTTTTCATTAGGCAAGGAATGAAATTCCTGACTTCTAAACTTCTCCTGCTGTGTCTGCTTAATAGCCGCTTTCTCACAAAGGAAGCTGGTGCTCCGGCCAGCCACGAGAAAGGAAGCAGAGGGGCAGAACGCCGCCTGCTCCACTCACAAGCTTTCATTTCCGAGAAGCAGTGGTACAAAGATGGCAAAGACCAGCGGTGTCGATAATGAAGAGAAATCATCACCATCCAGGAAAAGTGAGTATACATCCACATACATACAAAGGGGTCAAGGGCAGAAGAGGGATAAAAATTCAGCTTTCTAGGATGCTGCTCCTAGAAGCTTCTAGAAGCTACAATGTGGAGGCGGAATCCCATTCACTGGAAATACTCTTCTTTCTTTAAACAGCCAAGTTTGAAATTCTCACACATGAGATGCTACTGCCTCCCCACTAGATGATAAAAACATCAACTGTTAAAGAAAGATTACCCCCGCTGCCTCAGCATAACAGGGTTAGAATCTCAGCACTCTACGCAATGAAATAGAGTCTGCCCTTAGGTTTTGGAGTCCCTTACTCACACAGAAGAACCTACAGACCAAACCTTTCCAAGGCACCATCGACACATAACAGTTCGTTTTGTGCCAACAAACAAGCTATAATCTCAATTTCAACTTAATGATGAAAGATTGTAATCTCACAAAAATAACAAAGAAAGTCAAAGGATCTATAGTTAGATCTGACTTTATTCCAACCATAAAATACTGTCACATCAGGCACCCTTACCCTGGAGACGTAAGCAAGCTTCACACTTAGGATGCTGGGAGTATCTATGAACTACCCTAAAATAGTAGAATTAAATATGTGAATTTATCTGGGGAATAGGAGCTTCCAAGAGTTTCACAAAGAGAATAACTTTCGTATGTAAAAGAGATTTAAAGAAAACAGTGGTGGAAAGCAGGAACTGCGTATGATAGAGTTAGCAGGACAATGATGTGGCAAGGGACTCGAGCTGAGATGCATGCATCCAGAGCCCCCAAGTCCATGTCCCTTAAACAATGCTTTCTTGGTAACTAGGAACCAAAATGTCCCTTAAGTCTGTTTCTGCTTCATTGCTACAACCATACTTTCTTCCTTCCTAAATGTACTCGCTTGGCCCTTTCGTAATGCTACAGAGCTAGGCCCTCACCAGTTTATTCCAAGATAACATCAGGAATATTTTCACTGAATTCACTCAATCCCTTTTGATACTGCACGCCACTGATTTCGACATCGTGCACCATGGCTACATGACTTTTGCATAAAAATCTTTCACAGCATTTTGTCCCCTACTTATTCCCAAAACAAAGACCACCAGCCTGTGACATTAAGTGAATTATAATGCTTGGCTTTGCTGGGCCAATACCATGTGGCCCCAGTTTATATCTTCGCATGATTTCCATATTATTCCTTCTAATCCAATTAGGCCCATTTTTTCCATATCTCTACACACAAGTTATTCATGTGCGCCCCTCTAGGTCCAGACCATAGAATTTTAAAAAGAGTTATAACATCCATAGCAACAACCTCATCACAATCATAAAGGAGTTATCACATCAGAAATTCTTAACCTGGGGTCCTAGGTGAGCTGCAGTTTGAATGCCGGGAGTATCTGCAAACGACTCTGAAATGGCAGTGGAATCACATAAATATGTACATGGGAGGGAGGGCAGTCTCAGTTGGGCATGTAATTGTAAACTGCAATGTATTACTTTCAAAGTGCATCACATGTTAATATCTATTTCTATAGCTAGAATTCAGGCCCTTTGAGGGTTAGAATTCTGTCCTTAATATTTGTTATTGTATTTAATAGAGCTATGTTTACATAGTTATATAAACTCAGGG